CTCCCGCCATCACGCCACCCCCCAGCCCGGGCCTGGATAGACACGCCCCCGACGCCACGCCCCGGCCTCCCGGGTGGACCCGCCCCCAGGCTCACACCCGAGAGTCTAGGCTTGCGGCCTGAGTCCGAGGGTCTGTGGCCTCCACCCACGGGGAACGTGAGAGCCCCAGGCGTGAAGCCGGAGGCCACCCGGGACACCTGGGGCCCCTGGCCTGCCAGCTGCAGCGTCCTCACGCTGTCCTGAAGCCTCACCCACGAATACTAGAGACTTGAGCCTCGCAAAACAATGTTCCGCGTACCTGCAGCCTGACCATCGCAGGCCTCTGCTCGTGGCCCGGAGATTGCACGGGATCTGATCAGATCACGCCCTGGGGACTTAAATCGGCTGTGGACCGCTGGGTGAGACCTCCCACAGCTCTGCGCCTAGTCCACCTATCCTGAGGCCAACCCTGTGCGATAGGCAGCCCTTGGGGACCCAGCAGGAACTGGGGTTTGAGTGTGCCTGCCGTGAGAGTGTGCTCATGCATGTGCAAGGTGGCGAGGGGTCCATAGGGGCCCAGGCTTCCTCCCCAGCCCTACCTTTTGCACCCTTCCACCCTGGGGTCACCCCTCTTTGCAGAGGCATTGGGCTCCAATCCAGACCCCTGACCCTCCCTTACCAGGTTGGTAGACAGTCACAGGTGCATTTTTTAGTAAAACTGATTTCGTTGGGGTCCTCTGTGTGAACAAAGTGGGCCTGAAAAATCTCTTAGGGGTCTGGACGTTGCCCAAATAACACTTATCACTGTTCAAAATAGTTACATGATTATTCCTTTAATATCTGTCTTTCCCCCACAGACTGCACAGTGAGGCCTGTGTCTGCTTTGCACACCCCTGAGGCTCCACTCCAGGCACTGTGGATAGCATGCAGCAGATGCTTAATAAACGCCATCTGTGCAGTGGACACGGAATGTGCTGACTAGGCCTCTTCTGCTTCACCCTGACCCAGGTCCCATTTTTTCTGGCTCCTTCATCTCCTTTCTCTGGTAACAAGGGGACATACCCACAGGGGTGGCTCTTCCTTCTCTTTTCTCTTTGGCTAAAAATATTCATTTTAAAAAACAAAACCGCTTCCTGGAACCCTACTTCTCCCTTAAACTACGGTCCTGTTTAAATATCTCGTCAAATATTTTGACCTTTACCAAACAAAAACCAAGTCTGACTTCATGAGAGGAGTTATTAGAAAGGGCTAGTGAAAGAGATGAGGACGGACTACTGCCATAGTGAGAGGGGACAAGGACAGCAAGGCCTGCAAGTCTCAAGACTTGGCACAAAGGGGCTATAGGGAGGAGCAAAGACAGGAAAGCTAGATTGGGGAGTGGGTTTATCAGACAGGAAATCAGAGAACCTTGACCTAAGGCCAAGGTTTGGGCCACAAGCTATCCATCACTGGGCACCAAGAACTCATCCCCGAAAGCCATGAGTTCATCCCATCCCAGATGAGACAAAGAATGGGAATTGGGAGGGTCAGTGTCTAACTTGTTCTAGGTAGATAAAGGCCTCCTGGATGCTAATCTAGATCATGTAAGGAAGGAACATCCCTCAAAGCAAGCCATTTTCCAGAGCCGAAAGAGTATGGGGAATTTTTAAAAGTTGTCTTCTTTTTTTTGTTGTTTTACTTTTTTGTGTTTTTGTTTACTTTCCAAACAGTGCTCTGATTTTGGTTGGTTGTTGTTTGTTTTGTTTTTGCAGTTCTGGGCATGGGCCCCTGGGACTTGTGTGTGCTGGACAAGCACTGCACCAATAAACCATGCTTCCAGGCTTGTGATTATCTTGATAAATGTCTAGAAGATTAGTAAAGCACACGTTTGGGCATGTCTGGATGAGTCAAGAGGCCATGATCTTGAGGATTATATCTGGTTGCTGGCTCCTTCCTCTCTAGCACTCTTCCACCCTGTTCTGTTTCTCAGATGCCATGAGTTGAGCAGCTGTCTCCGCCATGCCCTTCTGCCACAACGTTTCTGCCTTGCAGCCAGTCAACCATGGATTCAAACCTCTGAAATTATGAGCCAAAATAAATTCCTCCTTTAAGCTGTTTATGTCAAGCATTTGGTAACCAGCAATGAAAAATTGACTAATACATAGGGCTTAGATAAAATTCACCACTGTCACCCCCATTCTGAAGAGCCACCCAGTTACTTCCTGTTCAAAGGCCTTTTTTATTGGCATTATAGCTCTCTTTAATCTGTTATAGTTTAGATATAGAATGTCCCCTAAAAGTCTCATGTGTTCAGACATGGAACATTTTGAGAGTGATTGGATCATGGCAGCACGATATTCATCAGTGGATTGATCTATTGAATTCGTAGCTAAATGTACTGTTAGGAGGTGGGGCCTGGTAGGAAGAGGTATGTCGCTAAGGGATGTGACTTTGGAGGGTGTATTCCCCCTCCAGCTCCTCCTCTCTCTCTACTTCCTGACTTACATGAACTTAGCTTTCCTCCACCATGCCCTTCCACCAGGCTATTTCTGCCTCAGAGCCAACTGACCATGATCTGAACACTGTGAAAACTGTGAACCAAAATAAACCTCCCCTTTAAACTTAAGGTATTGAGTGTTTTGGCCCAGCAATGGTTAAGTGACTAATATACCATCATCTGAGAGTTTCCTGTCATCTTTACACATACTGCTTCTCCCCTCCAGCAAGTGCATTGACTGTGAAGCAAATTACTTACAAGTTCTCTTACTTAAACAAGGACCCATTCAAGACCCTGTATCTCATTTTGTATCTATAATTTTGAATTTCTGTTTTTTAAAAAAAGCCTCTAAATGTACAAGATTTATACCCCAAAAATCTGGTTGTGAACTAGGAATGTCCATCCATACTATCCCCACAAGATCCTAAAGAGAGCCCTATGCAGAGTGTGTGTTTGGTAAATGTTTGTGTGACAAGAAAGAGAGGAAAAGAAAGAGGCAGCCAGGGCAGAGGCTGGGACAAAGGCCCTGGAGGCTGGCCAGCTTTTACAGGAACAAAGGCATTAGGGAGGTGGGCAGGAACTGGGTGATTATTTTATTGGCCCCCACAAAATATTGTAAGAGGTACTAATTATGAGGCTTAAGAGATTTGAGTTAGCAAGTACTGAAGCATGTCTTTGGAGTGGGACAGGGAACAGGCTGGCACAGCCATTTCCATGAACAGATGTCCTTCAGTCAATGTGTAGACCCCAGAGGTAGAGATGCTTTCACAACAACACCTCTTCTTGTTTCTAACTCCTGGGTTCTGGTTCCCATGTCAGTGTTTGCCAGGCAGTGCTGCAGATATCAACAACTCTGAATCTCAATGACAAAGTGCAACATAGAACCTTCTCCTGTGCTCATATTCCTTCCTGCTAATGGCCCAGTACAGCTGTGGCCCTAGTCTCCTTCATGAACACTGACCAAAGAATAGCCCATTCCGATGATGAAGCAATAGCAGAACCACACTATGACTTTAAATATATCAGTTCTGATGTTTAGTCTTTCAGAGATCCTTTAGGTTAAAACTGAGAAAGGGACACCTGATATCAGAGGAGTAGGAAATCTACCCTTGGAGCAGCTATGTAGGGAGTAGCAGCAAGAGATCATGAAGTCTACTACAAGTGAGGAGGTAGAAAGAGGAACTTTTAATAAATCTGGTGAGAAAATGGAGAATAGGAAGTAGACGTAGATTACTGTGTATTACAGAGGAAGACACTTCTGGGTGGCACCCCCTGTCCAAGCAGCCCTATGCTTTCCTGAGGACAGTAAAGCTGACTAGAGTGATCAGAAGCACAGGTGCAGCACAAACCTGACAAGAGTGTCATGTGTGAGAGCAGTATCTGTTGGTGGGAGTCTGTCAGATGGCAGCTAAAAAATAGCAACACTCAATAGGGCTGGGGATTTAGCTCAGTGGTTCTGCCGCTTGCCTTGAAAGCACAAGGTCCCAAGTTCGATCCCTGGTACCAAAAAAAAAAGAAAGAAAGAAAGAAATAGCAACACTCCACTGCAGAACAATGAATGCACCAAACCTTGGAGTGCAAAGTTTTAAAACCCTCATTCCTTTGTATCTGTTCCCCCCAGGAGCTGGAGGAATAGTGGCCAGCCAAGCCAAGGGGAGCTTGTCAACCGGGTTCAAAGGGTATCTTGATGGGTACAAACAGAACACCTGCTCCGGGCCAGGCATAGCCTCATGGGGAGCAAGGCAAGGAATAGCCACACAATGATTCTCTGATGAGGACCAAGCAGGGGGACCAGGGAAGGGCATAAGCTTTACATAAAGTCCAGATCTTCAGAAGCCTGGACTCATTCTGCTTAAGAGCAGGTCTGGCTTTTGCTCAGATTCTTCCAACGATGAGCTGCATGACCCGTGGCAAGTCAACCTGCTTCTCTAAAACTCAGCTTCCTTATTTGTAGAACAGGCAATCAATACTCTCACTGTGCCGTGGTGATTAAAGGAATGTCAGCAATGGTTTTAGGGAGCCAGCTACATGGCTTTCATCTATTAAGATAGAAGGTAGGGACCTTCACAAGAAGGGAAGGAAAATAGGGTTTTCTGGAGGGCTCTGCCTTGGATTTGACTTTAGACCTGAATGTCAGAGAGGATAAGAGGAACAACATGATTCCCTCCTTGTTGCATCTATTTAGGATTCTCACATTTTCAATCCCTTTGTCCCACTTTGGGTGATCTCACCATGAAAACTCCTTTGTAGGCCAAATTATTTAGATCCAGAGAAAAGTCCATTTCTGATTGTTCTACCCTTGCCCTTTCTTTTCTTCTCACATCAGTATTTCTGGCCTTGCCATGTTGGCCTGGCTGCCATAATATGTATATTTTTTGGAATTGTTTCATTCTAAGCTATAGCTATGACAGTATGGGGAAAAATAAAAAAGAAATGGAAAAGACATGTCAAGTGTTTCGCACAGTATAATTATTTTCTTAGAGATGTCATTCAAATAACTAGAACCACAGGAAGAAACATTTTGAAACATACAAGGATAAATTAAATCAAAGAGTATGATATTCTGAAAGAAAAAATAAAGCAATACATTATTATTCTTTGATGTCAAGTTTTGTGCCTTAGGGACAAAAAGCCATCACCAAAATTTCACCCAAAAAATGTCTTCTCTGTAACATTTCTGACTTCGGCTACAGATGGATATTTACTCTGAAGAAGGAAAAGAAAAGAAAAAAAACCATGAGCTTACTCATACACATGCACACATGTGCAGACACCCCAACACACTCCTCTATCGAATAGTCGATAATGTAAAATAATGTAAAATAGGAAGAAAAGGTCCAAAGGGGTAGGGGTAGTGGGAGGGGCAGGGGAAAGGAAAGAAGGGAAAGGATATATGATGTGATATGGCAATAAAGTCTTTGTAAATAGGGAAAGGTGGAGGGGGTGAAGGGAGGGCTAGGAATGGGGAAAAAATAAGAACCAAGATGCATTATGTAAAGGTACAATTCCCAATGAGAAATGTAATTGTGTTGTATACCTACAATGTACCAATAAAAGAATTTAATAAAAAAATATAATGTGTAGTCTATAAATATTTCTGGGTTAATAGTTTTTAAAAAATAACTATTATCAAACACACACACATACAAAAATTAAAACCATTCAAAGGAGAACAATGCAAGGGAAAAAACTAAAATAATATTGAAATACGGTAGAACTCAACCAAAACAAAACTGAAAAGCACTTAAACATTCTTCCATATAACTTAAAAAATCATCTCAAGCACCAACAAGATACCAGACGATGTGATTTGTTTCAGAAAGATCCCCAAAACCAACATTGAACAAATAGTGGTCTGGAAAAAAACTCCAGTTAGCTAGCAGACTCCACATAAGCTAAGCTTCTCTCTAATTTAAATTTTGATACAGTCATATGATACGTGATGGAAACACAACCCGAGAAATATGTTATTAGGCAATTTCATCCGTGTGTATCCTTAATTACACTTTCAGTTTCTCACACTAGGGAAACTACTTGGTATTTACACATATGTGTCATATTTATTTCACTTAAGAGGATGGCCTCAATATGCATCCATTTAACTATAAATGTCTCTAGTTTTCTGGGTTAATAGTTTTAAGGATATAAATAACTAATTCCCAAACAAACTGGGAAGAGCACTTGTTTTGAAGTCAGCCATCAAATGATCCTCAAGCTGTTATTACCTGACATGCACAATCCTAGATTGCTCCCCTCTGGGCTTTTGTCTCCTCATTAGGAAACACGAGGCTTCAGGATGTTCTTGTGAGTGTGGGGAGAGACCCTGGCACACTACAACCCCCCACAGCATGTGGAGTTTCCTCTGAATGTGATGGCACACACAGCACACAAACGTTTCGCGGGAGGCTGCATTGCAAAGGGAAGCTGTCTTCGAGTATAAACCTACCACTGTAACTGCTTTCTTTATAAGTCAATTAAAAAAAGAAAAAGAAAAAACATTCAAACTAGAATAAACTTCCTCCTTCCTCCCCCAAGAAGATGGAGAAATGTAGCACCTCCTGCTGGTAGTATACCAGGGTCTTTCCTCACTCTTTCACCCCATCTTCTCTCTTAGAGCCCGGCCCTTGTGCCTACCAGGACTCGCTGTCCTTCCTAGCTCTCTCTTCCCACGTGACTGCACAATGGAGTGCTACTGTAAGCTGCTCCCTTTCTTCTCCCGTCTTGAAACTTTTCAGATGGAAGGATATAACAAAACCTAACTAAAATGTCCTAGCACTTTGTATTTTCCAAACTTGCCATGTCATTTTTTCTAGCCTCACATGTTCCTGTAGAACTTTGCCTCTGTTCCATCAAGACACCAGGCTCTTCACTGTTCTGCCAGGAATTGTGATGAGGTTTTTGGCTGTCTGAATTGAGATCACAGCACAGGGATGTTGTGTGGTTTGGGTGGTCATATAGCCTCCATTGGATTCCATGTTAGAATGCTCACACTGAGAAAACCAGCCAACAGACCACAAACAGAAGCAAGTGGACCTGTACAAGGGGCCACAGGGCAAAGCTATTAGAGAGGAATTGAGCCAGCACAAGCTGCTTCTGGGTGTTTCTAGCACCTGGCCTTCCATGCTTCCAGCTGAGTTGTGGTTTCAATATGGGTTGTCCCCTTTGGAACTCAAGCCAAAGTCTAAGACCCATGACAAGGTACTAAGAGTATGAGAATTGATTTGGACGATGGAGTTAAAGGTGGGGCCTTTGGGAAGCAATTGGGATGACATAAGATCATCAGTGGAGCCATCATTATTGAATACTGGTGGCTTTAGAAAGGGGGGGGGGGAGAGACAATAGGGACATGTGACACCCTGTATCGCAATGAGACTGTACTAGCAAGAAGGCCATCACCAGAGCTAGTACCACACTGTTTGGATGTTCAGCCTCCAAAACAGTGAGCTAAAGCAACCTCTGTTCTTTATACCTTATCCAGTCTATAGTATTGTGTTCTCAGCAACAGAAGACAGACTGAGACATGCTGAGGCCCCAGGTGTCAAAGAGCAGTTAAGTCATATTCCTGTTGTGACCTGTCTAAATTATGACCCACAAAATTTGTGAATATAATAAATGGTTATGCATGCCACTAAGCTTTGGGGTTAACTTGTTACATGGCCTTGGTAACAGCAGATAAAGGAAAGAGGCCAGATATTTTTTTGAGTATAATTGTTTTATACATTTAGCTTTGGAACACAGTAAATGTTTTACAAAATTAAATAAAATTTAATTCTTAAAATGGCAACCCCTAAGAATAAAGTAGAAGAAATGTATGAGACTAGGTATTGAATAAGTTGCTTAACCGCAGAGAGGATTATTGTAAGTAACTTTTTAAAAACACTGTGCTTTTACTCTATTTCCTAGTGGGACATATTGCAAGACAAAGACAAAAAAAACCCAAAAATTCTCTACAAAAGAAATCCTAAACTATTATCAGTTTCCATTTTGTTACTCATTACGTACCATTTTTATTATTAATCTGAATAAATAAAGCAAATCAATAATTATTTTAATGGCATTAAGGATGTTTTAAGTATAAGAAAACAATAATATAAAAAATTAGATAAACTAAGACATGAATTAAAACTTATTTAAAAATTTTGTCATGCTAAATTTGAATTGCAAATCTCATTATGAACTAATAATGTATTTTGGGGGTTTTTTTTGGTACTGGGGATCAAACTCAGGACCTTGTGATTGCAAGGCAGGTGGCAAAACCACTGAGCTAAATCCCTGGCCCCTATTTTTTTGAAATAGAAGAACAAACAAAACACCTTGTCACCTAGTTCCATCCACTAAGAAGGACCACTGATAATGTCCAACTTAGGACAAGAAGCGCTGTAAGGAGTGCTCTAAACACACATGTTCACTAACAGGAAGCAGAACCCCAAGTGAGGAGGAGGAAACAGACAACAAGAGTGTGCAATGCAGGATCACAGGAGAGAGCTGGGGCCCCAAAACATTGCTGGGGCCACATGAAACAGACTGGGAGCTTACTCAAAGCTGCTCCTAATGGCAAAATGGATTTTTTTTTTTTTGAAGCACTGAGGATTGAACTCAGGGCCTTTGCACTGAGGTACATCCCAGGCACTATTAATTTATTTGTTTATTTTTTTCAGGGTAGGTCTCAGTCAGTCATGAAGTTGCCCAAACTAGACTCAGATTTTCAATCCTCCTTTATCAGCCTTCCATAGTGCTGGGATTATAGGCATGCACCACTCCCCCTGGATAAAAATGGAATGATTTTTGAGTATCAAAAAGAATAATATCTATAATGGATTTGAAAGATATAAAATATGCTAAAATACATGAATCCATAGTAATTCAAAAGAGAAAATCCTCATTGGGCACTTTTTTATTTTTAATTAATTAATTTATTTTTTATCCCGTCATCCCCCAACCCCCCTCCCCTCCTTATCTACAAAAGCTTTGATTTCATTTTTCCTTCTATTTTCACTTTCTTTCCTGTCCCTTCCTTCCTTTCTCCCTCTCTCCTCCCTTGTTCCCCTTCCCATTTGATCATTTTCTTCCCATTTCCCAACATCCATTATACATTTCAGTGCTATTTCCACTTTCAGATTCTCACACCAGAGAAACAATGTGGTATTTAAACATGTGTGTCTGATTTGTCTTATTTAAAAGTATGGCCTCAAGGTCCATCCATTTCACTATAAATGTCTGAAGCCCATCCTTCTTTATGGCAGAGTAATACTCCATTGTATAAAAAAATCACATCTTCTTTATCCACTCATCAGTTGATGGGCATTTGGGCTGTTTCCAAGATTTAGCTATTACAAACTGTGCTGCTATAAATATGGGTGTGCATATATCTTTGTGGCCTGATCCTTTTAATTCTTTCAGGAAGATACCAAGAAGAGATACAGGTGAGTCAAATGGAACCTCTAGTTTTAGTTTTTTGAAAAATCTCCACACTGATTTCCACAGTGGTTGCACCAGTCTACACTCCCACCAGCAGTGGAGAAGGGATCCTTTTTCTCCACAGCCCCTCCAGCATTTGTTATTGGTTGATTTTTTTTTTTTTTTTTGGCACCAGGGATCAAACTTGAGTCCTTGTGCTTGCGCAGCAGGTGGTGAAACCACTGAGCTAAATCTCCAGCTCTAGTTGATTTCTTGATAGCTTTCTGGAGTGAGATGGAATCTCAATGTTGTTTTAATTTGCATCTCTCAAATGACTAGAGATGTTGAATATTTTTTCATATATTTATTTGTCTTTGGACACCTTTAGAAAACATACAGAAACCAACTCAGTATTCTGAGCACTTGAAAATAATAAGAATCCTTCAGTTATTCCTCCTGTTCTATATTAACCACACCTCTGGTTAATCAGTAGCCACTGACCAATGTTACATCCTAAAGAGACCAGGTGCTGTGTCCTCCTGACCTAATACAACACGAAACACAGCAGCATAGCAAAGAATCCTTGCCCGTCTTACATTTCTGTGGATTTTGCTGTTGAGTTGTTTGAAGTTATAGCTTTAGGTTTTCTTTGAACTTTTATCTTTTCTCATTTGAAAATGTCCCTTTTTTTTACCATAATACTTTCAGCCTCCATGTCCACATCACTAAGTATACGTATTGCTACTGCTCTCTTATTTTGTGAGGAGGAATTCTGGTTCTTTCTGGTGTAATTTTGTATCTAGAGACAATCCTCAGCTCTGAAGGGTGCTTATTGCTGCTACATCAGTGATTGTTTCTCACCCTGTTCAATAGACAGAGCTAGGAAATAGGTTCTGTGCATTAGGTTGATTTTGTTTGTTTTAAAGAAAATACATCACGAGTTCAGAGTGACATTCATAAATCAAATTT